ATGAAGTCAATTTACAATGTTAACATCGTCCATTTCTTATAATTTAGAGACTCAACCTCTTTTTTGAATTCGCGGGTCATTTACAGTTTATACGAGTTTTATTCAAGGGTTTACTCCTTTTCCAATTAAATACGATATGCTTCCACGTAATGTTCAATATGGTTAAGTTAACAAGGTTCCGAAACAATCGCGCACGTTGACTATAACTGTCTTGATGTAAGAAAAATATAGAGTACAGTACATTATTTATTACAAAGCAAATATTGAGAACCAATATCTATATGAAACTGGTAATGAGTTTGATGATAAATAAAGTGGCATAGTTACTTACATTCGAGCTCGACTCACCTGGCGGTGAAGCTTCACTATCAATCGATAGTTATTTTTTTCAGTGGAAAATTAGTTTTGGTAAGAAAAGCGTCATTGTTGTCAAGATTTTCTTGCATTGTGATTGGACATTGGATAATGGTATTTAAACGCGATAGCGCGCTTCATGACTAGAGTGCAGAACAAGGATGCGAAATCTGACGCCCTGTGAGAACTAAAACGTTACTTCATTTCGATGGTATTACGCGAGTGATGAATCATCAATGCACTTATATCCCTCGCCTGCATAGCTTTAACGGCCCGTAGCGATGCAACCAACAACGCAAATAAAACTCGCCAAACACAAGGGTGCTAACATGTCAAGATTATATCAACCTGCAAAACTGATCGCCCATTCCTAACTTCTGGCTGAGAGTCTGAGCAAATACTGGCTAGTTGCACAATAATAACACTCATAATGCAATGATTGCTCTTGGGTTAAGGTCTTTTTCAATAATTTGTTCGATGTCACGGATCGAAGTGGTATATCATCTGCTTGGTCCACCTGCAATCTTTTCTAATCTGCTCTTTGCGTTCGATACGTTCCATAGTAAAGTAACGGCTGTAAGACTTGTATTCAAATTATCCATCTGTTGTCCAAATAGATCGAGCGTTTTGATATATTGCTTTAAGCATTCGGGGGACAACATATTTGTTAAAGAAAAGAAAGATAACGCGAACGAGTCCTGTCGCTGATGTACCGAACAGCACGTCGTGGGCCTATTACTATTGTTGAAGATTCCGATTCATTCAATGGCAAATTCCTCATTGATGCTCAGCTCGTCTGTTTTATCTTCTTGCTCTTCATACTCCTCGTCACTTTCACCTTCACTTTCTTCGTTGCTTTCGAATATTGTATTGAGCTCGAGTCTGATTCGAATGTGTAAATTATCTGACATAGTAATTATCGATGTACAGTAACGTGCAAAAGTATCCTACCGGTTGTATCATCTAAACGTACATAATAATAACTCCTTAAATTTTCC